GAAGAAAAGGGGGGAGGGGGGAGTCGGATTCCTGGTCAAGGAACACTTGTTTGACGTGGTGGAAGTAGTGGTGAAAACCGAGTTCGAGGAAAGCCTATGGCTTAAGATACCTGGGGAGCGGGTTGAGAGAGATTTGTTTCTAGGGAACGTATACGTCCCACCGTCGTCGAAGAAAGTCGCAAGCAAGGCGCAGGAGAACTTTGGACAAATTGGGGAAGATGTCCAGAGGTTCAGTAGGAGAGGAGAAGTTGTCATGGTGGGCGATTTCAACTCCCGAGTAGAGAAAGCGTCCAGTAGAGGACAGGCGATCGGGCAGCAAGGACAAGCCAAAGTGAACGACAACGGAGTGAGGATGCTTGAATTCTTGGGAAGCAACGAACTGATGGTGTTGAACCGCAGAAGGGAATGCGATAAGTCGGAGTTCACCAGGCACAAGGAAACCGCTGCCATCGAACGCCAGCAGCGTGAGCACAAACAGGCCCTCCGGCCGCGGAGTTTTTGTGACTTCATCTCAGCCTCAGAAGCTTTTTGCTCCCGTTCTTTCTGCAGGAGTTCTTGGCGTGTCTGGTTGCTTCGGCCTCTTCATCGATGGCGACACTGGCAGCGGCGGAGGTTACGGCACGCTGTTGTTGTGCAATGCCGAGTACGTCCCAGTCGGCTGCAGAGTAGCGGGTCTGGAAGATCGGCGGGCACGCGGAATACGGGAGCTTGCTGGGCTCCGGTTTGGCGTCGGTGTTGTTGGTGGACATACTGACGGGCAGAGGCTGAGAAGCCTGAGAAGCGAAAATGTCCACGGGGGCAGGGAGTAACGGGGAAGAAGTGGTCAAGGTATCTGTTGCATTGTCGTGCGTTGGCAGCTGTGAGGTGTCGGAGGATGACAAGGTACTCTGCTGGCGAGCAGTTCGAGCAGCGTAACGCTGTGCGCGTGCAGCTGTTGTAGACCGATTTGTGCATTGAGTTCAGGAGTCGAGAGCTCAAAGCGCGAACGGTACATGGGATCACGGCGTTGTTGCGATAGGGCGGGAGATTGCTGTGATGCGCTCTGAGGGGGGTTGGGAAACAACGGGTCAAGATCGGACGAGTTTTCATGTTCCCTCAGAGCGACGTGGGCGTCGGCATGCGGCGTTGTGGAATGCATTAGTGCCGCATTAATTCCAGAGAGCACAGCGTCATGGTTGTCGGAAGCAGCAGGCAGTGTCGCAGACGGCGTAGTGGGCCCAGAAAGTGGCGAGTTGGCGGTGTGGTGAGCGGAAGGTTCGGCAACCGATGGAATAATGCCGGGTTCTGCGATCTCCGGAGATGTGCGATAGGTAAGCTGAGATATGCCAAAATTGCCGATGCTAATTGTCGATTGCATGGCGATAGCTGTGTCGGGCGACGCGCGGACGTCGCTGGAGTGATCCTCATCAATAGCGTCAAGCGTGTGCTGAAAGAGCGTAGTGTCGTGTTCAGGTGAGGCTCGTGCGGTGATCGACTCGGTTTCTACAACAGCAGATAAGTGTAGGCGACGGCAGCATTTCGTTCTGCTCTTATCACTTGCGGTCACGTTGTGGAAAACGCCGATCGAAGGCAGCAAGAAAGGCATATCCGAAGAGTGTGTGCTTGTGTGGCGAGAATGGTGTCGCGTGAAGCAGCATTGTCGGGCAGTGGAGTATCATTAGCGGCCAGTGTACTACTATTGTCGAAGGGTGTTTGGTGGGTATCACGAGGAACGGAGGTGCCGGGTGAAACAGGAGATGCAATGGCATGTTCGACCAAAGACCATAAAGATGAGGCTGCTTGCTACAGCAAGGAAGGTACTTCATTGGCGTCTGTGGAGGTAGCGGAGTGTGCCGAAACCGGGGAGCTGTTGCCACTAGAAGCAGAGCTACGTGGAGCACTATTGGTGCCGCGTGGGCTGGCTGCGGATGAGTCGGCGCCGCCGCCTGTGAGTGCTACCATGGTAGCAAGCTCAAGCTTACGAAAGAGAGAGATATGTCTACCCAACGAATCCCACAGCAGAAAAAATTCCCGCTGCACTCGAAAAGAAAACTAAAAAGTTGAAGCGACGCACGTTCGAATCCAAGACGACGCCAAGTGTGACGAGATGTGACGATCTCTGACGCGGGCTCAGTGTGGCGCTAGTCCGACCACTGTGTGCAGGTTGGAGCCGCTTCGCTTCTTCAGTCTGTTTCCTTCCTTATCCTTCCTTTCTCTCTCAGTCGCTGGCTATCGCTCACTCCCAGGCAACACCAGGGAACACCAGGCAATACTGAGCAAGGTGGGACGCTTGCAAATCGCTTGCTACTGCTAGTAACCATTGAACCGCTACCTGCTTAAAGTCGGAATACTAGGAATCTGGGCAGGTGGTCGGGATATTCCTGAAAGATATACCCACCTAGATGATATCTTAGTCCAAGGGTCCAAATACCGTAACACTGTACATACAATAGCCCTCAAAACTGCTGATATACACTTGGCTCTATCTGTAAACGTACTATTCTTTGGCGGTCTCTCTTCCCCTTCCATTTTTAGAAAAACTTGTTTTTCTGCAAACTGTGGACGAAATCGGCATGTTACGTTGCTCAGGCCAGCCGTGTAGCTTGTACAACGAGTAGTCTGGATGCCAGAGGGGTAGTGTAGGGCTCGAAAAAATGGAGAAGCATGAGTTGGTTCCTGTTCAGAAGCACAATGACCACTACCTAGTGGTCATTGTGCTTCTCAAGAAAAGCTTATGTCCGGGGTTCAAGAAAAGCCAATGTCCGGGGTTCGGATCTCCCCAACAGCATTAATTTCTCTGCGCCCGACATATGGGAATAAAAAGGCTAGACTGAAGAAACTGGCTTCGCAAAATGAGCCGAGGACCTGCTTGTATCGATCTGGCAAGTACAGCGCTGAATACAGGGATGGAAACCCTGGGGGGATGTGTTCGCAGGCTTAACAGCTTGACCGGACACGGGCATTAACTTTTGTTGAGAAGCGCATGACTACTAGTCTAGTCTAGACTAGTCTAGACTATTAGACTGGTCAGCGGCTGACTAGTAGACGAGTACAGTATAGTGGTCATTGTGCTTCTCAACAGTTCCATGATACAGGATGCCAACGTACTTTGAAGAAGTCGTTTCGCAGCAGTATCATTGCTGCCGTGGTGCTAGCCACCCTGCATAGAGAGATGTGGATAGAGGTCAAATAGCTCTACTGTGATGCCTGCTGCGTAGCTCCTCCCCGACGCATCCGTTGAATCGATAACGGAAATACAGCAGTTCTGTACCTTGCAGTTAACCCCAATCGGCTCGCCCAGCCTCGTCCCCTAACGGACGCCCCTCTGAGTCTTCCTTGCAGCAGATCCAATGCGTCGCTATCCACAGAACAGGACACGTGCGCCTCCCTGCCATTGCGAAGTACAAGCCGCATCACCTGGCATGCCGTGGTCTTTCCGCCCGCGCGATGACGCAAACAGGAGCAGTGCAACAGCAGCAGTAATTCGTGTCTGTGTGGAAAAAATGTGATGATCCAACTGATCTCAGTATGTGCGATCATGTGATTCATCGACATCCCCTCTGTGGCATAAAGCACATGACATGTAGTGCAAAAGCTATGGGTGTAGACTGTTGGTGTACAGCAGCAGTATGTGCAGCCGCCAGTGATACACACCTCGGTCAGTACCTCGATCAGGCCGGAAGTAGCTCCCATCTCGAGGCACTGAACCGGCCGCGCTCTTCGACTAAACCGTGGAAGCGGAGCACGAGCGACATAAGCACACGTTCTTCTAACCGTGGCCTCGAGTACGAGTACCCACAACACTGCACCAACCGCTGTAGACCTCATGTTACCGACACATGTGTGTAGTTGCCAACGCACGCGTTGTTCACGAAGGAAAGCGGCGAGATTGGACAGGTTTCGGTAAATTCCGCCGCTCGCAACCAATCGCAGATTTTCGTAGATCGTGCACACGACGATACGACAATACGACGGTGTCTACTGCTGGTAAGGCCACGTGTTGCTGGTGGTGAAGACCCCTCCTGTTTATGGGGCTGCATCAAGAGGTTCATCACTCGGCTGCCAGCTTGATACGAATGGGAGAGCTTTGGGACACCACTGGTTGGGAGGAATTCTTGTGTAGTTTTGTGTGTCATCATGATCGATCCTCTGCGGTACCGATCTCTAGAGGAGCAGCTTGAGTTCGATGAGGACAACTCTCCGATGCAGTGCAAACAATGCCTGCGGGGGGGAGTCAGCACCCCAGCGTTTTTCCTCTGCCACGAGTGCGGAAACACTGGTGATCCGCGACCGTTTTGCGAGCCCTGCTTCTTCGACTACCACCTGACGAAGAGGAAAGGGAAGGAAGGACACAAGCCGCACCCGATAGTGCAAGGAGATCCTGTCACCGTCCAAACGCTTGCAGATGGCGACGGTGTCACGTTTGCCAAGATGCACGACTGGGTGACCCTCGACTACATTTTGACGACGGACGAGTCGGACGTGGCGGTAGAGGACACGTTTCTCGCGAAACAGCCGCTCACGTTTCAGAGCGGTTGTTCCGGCCCGTGCATCCACCTCCAGCTTCGCGGGTGCACAGGGATAGCCGCAGCAGACATCATGGGTGCCAGTGACCCCTACTGCGCCGTGTACTGGAAAAACAACTTCGTCGGTGCCACAACCACAAAGCACATGACTCTCAACCCGAAGTGGGCGAATCAAACATTCGTGCTACCCCTTGCTGCAGAGTCTTTGGCAGCGCTGGACGGCGGCGAGGGCTCTTCAGCGTTCTTCAACGCCGGTGCGCTCTCGCCAAAACTCCGGATAGAGCTCTATGACTGGGATCGCCTGTCGAAGAACGATTTTCTGGGACAAGTGTCCCTCAGCGATGCCGAAATCCTTCCCATCTTGCGGCAAATACGAAGCGGCGAGACAGACGAGAACCAGGCCATCTCGTTCGATTTGAGACCAAAACAGAGTCGTGGACAGCTCGGCATTCGTGTTGCTCTTCTCGGGAGCAAGCTCTACGTCCACATCATGGAAGCCGAAAATGTCCCTAAGGCGGACCCGTTCAGCTTGAGTGACCCATACTGCGAGGTGAGACGATTGGAGAAGAAACAAGTACGAGAATGTCGTGCACAGACTGGTGGATCTAAATGCGTCGGGCTAGTGGGGTAGGGTGTTTCGCTGTTGTTGTACTTTTTCCAACATTCATCGTTAGCGTCAGACCAGATGACTTGATTATGCTGAAGTCAAAATACCTTGAAGTACGCTGCCGAGAATTCGTCCTCGGTGGCATGTTCACCCCAGTGTCTGATATCCACGAACCCCCTTGGTCTCGACGGCTCGGTGACACCGGACAAACCCTTGGGTTACTTCTGCGTACGACCTTCGGAAACAGGTACTTATATCTCAATTAGTAATTAGTAATAACCTGTTACAGAGGGTTTGGATAGCAAAACGTCACGTGACTCGCCTTCGTGATGCATTTCTTCGCTGTCACACCAAGCCTTGATCCTATCACACGTACATTTGCCGGCGACCAGGTGTTTTGGAATGACGAACTGGTCGGCAAAACCGCCCACATAAACAATACCCTGGATCCCGTATGGGATTTGGAGATCTTCGCCTTCAAAGTCGACAAAGATGGACCCAACTCCGTCGAGAAGTCCACTCTACGAGTGGTGTGTTTGGACTGGGATCAGTTCGGAAGCGATGACGTGCTGGGCCAGATTGAGCTGACCGGACCGCAAATTAAGCAGTTGGTGGAGAGCAAGGACGGTGATGAGGGGGCAGATGCCGGCGAACAGGCGATGGGAGAGGCAGACATGGAGAAGATTTTCGAATTCGTACAGATGTTTCAGGAGAACGAGATTGACGAAGCGAGGCTCGGGAAAATGATCGTCGGGGTGCCCCAAGACCCAAGCATCAAGAGCCAGCAGCACGACGCGAAAGCAGTCGACGAAGATGTTGAGGTTGTGGAGACGACATCCAATAAGAAGAAGAGAAGACACAAGAAACAGAAGAAGGGTGGAGCGCCTGAGGCGGAAGAACATTCGCAGAGACGGCTCCGTGAGGGTCAAGGGGCGGCAGAAAATACAGAAGTGGAGGAGAGTCGTGCCCAGGTGTTGAGCTTGGGAGCGGAAGCTGGCAGGCGCAAAGATGAACCACAAACAAACGTGGGGGAGCAGAAGAGCCGAAGGGCTGAAGCTATGGGTAATCAAGAGGGAGCAAGGGCAGTAGAAGAGGCAGCAGCAACAAAAACAGCAGCAGTAGAAGCAGCAGTCTTGGAAGATGGCATGGACGATGAAGATTGCGCGAAGGAGGGAGGGCGCCAAGGAGAAGAGCACCACGAAGAACCTAAGCAAAACGAGGAGCTTGAAAGACTGCCGCTGAGGGAATCCCGACGAGTAGACGGTGGCGTCGTTCCGGGGGAAAGCAGGAATGAGGAATGCCGGGATGCGGACGTGTCCGGCGGCGAAGACAACCCGGCTTCACATGACACTAAAGCAAGTTTCGATGCTCTTAACGTCGAAAATCTCGCGGAGAAGACTGGGGCACGTACCGAAAATGACAGCACTCTCGACGCTGGCGGCCTCCTTCCCGGGCCAGACCATACGGTGAGTGTGGCGCCAGGGGGCGATGCCGAGACAAGCGGCGTTTCAACCAACATTGCGACAACGATCACCGTCGGTGTTACCAATGCCGCCGGGCATGAGACCGACGTTGGCAATAGCACAGGTAGCGAGGGTCTGACGCCGGGGGAACCTCGGGAACGCAAGACAATTCTTGAGTCTAAAACGAACGAGGAGGATCAGTCAGCAAAGGAGGATGTGGCAGCAGATCACGCGCCGAAAGAAACAGCAAATGATGGTGTCGAAGAAGGGGGTGGTCGCGCCGAGGAAGCATCACCCAAGGCGGAACCGCGGGCTTCAAGGAAATGGAAGAAGACAACCCGAGATTCCTTTCGCTATCTTGACGGTGAGATGGTGATTCCGGTCCACCCCTTCAAGCCTTCTTTGGTACTTTGTATATCTAAGTCACGCCGACCCTTCCCCCCCTCGTCTTCCAGTCGTGCTTTTCGTGCTGGTGTTGGCCTACACATCGGGGGTCCACTCTCGTCAGTCGTCAAAAAGTCCCCCTGCGTCGCTGTCATTAGGTCACCTTTTGCACTCTATACACACTCCCGTGTGCCAGAACAGCGTTAGATTCGTTCTTTTAAACACACCCATTTTCTGTCCGAATCGGAAACCCAAAAGTCGAACAAGTGTTGACGGAGATGATTGCCTCCTTGCCCTCCATTTTGTGTGTCCCCTTGCCGCGCACTTCTTCTTCGACCACGAGCAGCAAGCGTTCAGCGTTTCGAGGAGGGCCGAGGCGTTCTGGTGGAGTATTTGAACGATGGTAAATCCGTATGGTTGGAAACCAAGGTCATCCCTCGCCTTCAGATCCGGGCAGACACACCGGTTGCCCACAACATTCTTGAACGAATTTGGGGGCAGCGACACAGACTGTTGAGCCTGCACAAGCGGGTGCTAAACGTGAAGCGGGGGATGAAGGCCTTGATGGGAGTCGCGATGACCGGCTCTCGGATGCAGTGGTACCAGCTGGGGCTGACGGACGAGCAGAGCGGGGCGAATTTCGTCCGCGGAACCGTCGACTGTCGGTTTCTGTACCACACCAGGGGGTCCGTGTTGAGAGGGCTAGACGTGGCGGTGTCCCACATGAGTCTCGGCGAAAGGGCCCGAGTGGAAGTGCGGTCCGACTACGGGTTCGGGGAGGTGTATGCCTCGAGATGCGTCCCGCCTTACGTCACTCTGGTGTTCGTAGTCCAGGTGGCGGCCATCGGGCACCGGAGCGCGAAGTGGCTGCTGGTCCGGCGAGCGCTCAGGGACAGGATGGACGACGCCTTGTTCCGTCTCCGATCGCGCCTTTCGAGTGTGGCATCGTCGTACGGGGCCGCGAGGCGCCTGGCGGCCTTACTGAGATCGCTGAGGAGAGAGGGAAAGAGCGTGAAAGCGCTGGTGCCAGACGATGAGGAGTCGGCGGTGGGGGACCCGGGGTTGCTGTCGGAGAGAACGGGGTACCAAGACACCCATGCATAAAAGCCAACACTGGTGTATCTAGCCTATTCGGATGATCTATGCATAGGATATGACTTCATAAATGACCTTTCCGCCCGGATACACACACCGGCCAACAATGTAGCGTCAGGAGCCCATTTTGGACACCAACAGGCCGAGGCACCTGAGGGTAGAGATACGATCATGGAGAGGGCGTTTGAAGGGCTTCAAACGCTCGGGTAGTAGGTGAAAAAATGACAGGGAGGCAAAGAATCACATGCACAGCGGTGTCGGAAATCGATCGTGAAACCCGCCAGTGGTGCTAATTCGGCGAACTCGCTTTCAATCCTTGGTTTAGTATCGATCTTTAATGCGCCGACCGCGTGTGTGTCACCTTGGTGCATGGCACCCCGAACGTCGGCCACAATGTTGGCGTCCTTTATTATTCGTACTTCATCAAATATTGTTTTCGATATTTGTTATTCGAAGTGACCTCGGGCATCCGTCTTACTCTTCGGGTTTCCGCCCCCGTCCCTTTTAGGTTTGATTGGCTATCTTGAAGCATTCGATCTGCGGCTTGGCTGCCATCTGATCTCGGGAATCGAGTGAACCTTGTTTCTCATCCGTGTTCTGTCAAAGGCGCTAGCTGATCTACCTATAGCAGCAGCATCGCCGGGCGGTGGCGCCTAACGATCCCCGTGAGGATGTCTTCGGCATTCCCAATCCAGTCTACGGCGTTGTTGGTCGATCGCACATGATGTTGCCGATGTAATTCTTGCGACAGGTATGTGGAATGTGTCGTTCTCGGTGTTTCGTGGGAAGGCCGATTTTGGAATTTTTGTTAGACTTATCAGTATCAACTGATATAAGACTGTTGCAAAAGGTATTCTGTTGAATACGACACAGTACACGATATCACATACATCATGAGCGATTTCAGCAGCACAAAAAAACATTACCGGTTTCAGTACACGTTACATGGCACACTAAACGCGGTATAAAAAGATAATACTAACGTTCTGGACGGCCGTATGCACCGGTTCAGAATAGTGTGATGATGGGCACTTGTGACGCGAGGAACAAGTGTCCGGAGCACATGTCCCTGTGATGGGCACTGGGACATCACCCATAAGTGCCCGGAGGGGGCTTTCCCACAGACGTAACCGTAGTGTCCGGAAGTGAGCACGAAACCTTTGTGAACGAACCCGATCTGAGCACTACTGACCGGTTATCGCAACTGTGAGCGATAACCACGCCTGACCACGCATGCCTGACCGGATAATGGAGAAGTTGGAACCGCATGCAATTGGAGTACCGCTACTTGCTCGCTTGTGTTGATCACGGAACGCTTCGCGTGTCTACAATCGAACCCTGTGAGAATAGCTAATGATCTGCGCAGCAGGTGAGAGTTAATAGCCTGGTGATGATAGCGTACTTTAGCCCTTCCCTGGAATATGGTACGCTTGCGGTAAATCGAACTCCGGGCAAGTGCTTGGAAGGAGCAGCGGGGGCGGTGCTCACCCCGGCCGTTGAAAGACGCGACGACCCTCTGGGAAACGCCAGCCATCGGTTCACACGGACCGAGGAGAGGCTCTCCCCCAATGACCATGAGGTCTTTGGGGTGCTGTACGGCATCGAGCAGTTCCACACCTACCTGAAGCACTGGAGGAAACCTCCTCATCACCGACTACGCTGCCCTGACACGGCTGTTCATGAGCCGGTGTCTGTCCTCAAAGATGCACCGGTGGTCGCTACGACTTATGCAGTCCGATATCGACCTCCAATGGCGCAAGGGTGAGGATTATACACGGCCCCGGACGCTCTATCGCGACTCCGCTGCAAGGGACCGCCGGAGCCACCAATCAACACGGCGTTTCCCGACGACACCAAGAGCCCGGTGGAGACCCAAGGCCCCACAGGACCTGTGCTGGATAGTTTGCCGCTCAGGACCTTGGCGACCCCCACCGAGGAAGGAGAAGGCGACCGGGCCCCGCTGGAACCGGTCGAAGACATCCAACCCGATCGAGATGACGAGCCATTGCTTGACGGCGATTCTCTTCACCGCGCCAGGACCCACCGAATCCTACTGTGTGCCGGAGATGAGCCTGGCCGTCTTCTACGCTCTTCAGCTCACGCCGGAGGCCCCGGAGGACGGTGACCTGCAGCGACCGCGAAACTGCGAGGATACGCGGTTGGCCCTGGCTCCCAGACTGCCAAGAGCTGTCGTCCTCGGCTGCGGAGCGGGTAGAGCATTGTGGCTCTCCATGGCCTCGTACACATCAAGGCCGCAGTCGAACCGGATTGGATCACGTTGGAGTGCCCTTTTTACCTAATCCAAGAATTTTTAGCGCTCGTGTCAACAGCTGGAGACAGGGAATCCACCTTGTGCGCTCAACCCTTTCAGGCGAGCGGCGCATGCACACACCGGCGGAGGTGCGACCGGAGATCCTCGTCGGCAACGCTTGCCGCCGATACCACGCCCACAGCCAGGGAGAGACCGCCGCGCGCCAAGCGACGGAAATCACCGAGACCTTCGCCGCTTCTCGAACGCAACTCCCTCATGGAGTGCGCAACTCAGTTCATGGAGTGCCCCGCGGGGTTCTCGCGGACCCCGGTCTGGCGCGACCGCCTGCAGCCATGCTTGGAGCGAGTCCGGTGCACCGTGCAGGATGACACTCTGTATGCTACGGATGTTGGCGTCCCCACCGGGATACACCGAGTCTTCGTCGTGGTCATGAATAGGCAGCCCGGCGTCATCCCCGAGATCTACGCGACGAACATGGCCCTCTGGAAGCTTCGTCTACAGCAGAGAGTGGCCACGAAGGCGACTGTTGGTGAGCTTGGGACGCCAGGGCCACTTCTTCCTTAAGCGCCCTCCCGGCGACAAAGGAGTCTTCAGCTTCGCGCAACCTAACGTCACCATCACGCATGGGAGCATCAGGGGTCGCCGACCGGCGGAGTACCAGTCCCACCCTGCCGACGACGGACCCTTCGCCGACGCACAGGACCTGTCACAGAAGGAGTTTGTGCAGCTCACCACGTCCCAGACGGTCTTCGACGTTCCGCCAAGCGTGCGACCGATCGATGCTGCGCGGGCGCTCGAGGAGTTCACCATGCCCCCCGTGCTACGGGAAGCCTTCAGCGTTCTGGGCATCCACGGCATCGTCAACCGAAACGCCGACAACGGGGCACCATGAGCGATGAGTTGGGCATCGCGCTGGCTAGCCTGTGGGCATACTCCACTGACGACGTCGCCACCGTTGACGCTACGACCGTCGACAAGTCGCGCTTCGTCGCGATCCCTCGGGTCACGAGGGGTATGGCCCGTCGAGCCGCGCGGCCGACGCCGACACCCGCCGCCGCACCGTCGCCCCGGGAGACGGCGGGCACTAGCGAACGCCGCGGCCGCGGCCGCGGCCGCCCCCGTGGGAAGGAGCCTGCACGCCGACCACCATCGGCCCCGCGCGCCTTTGAGCCAGGTGCAGAGGAACCCTTGGACCAGTACTCCAAGGCTGCCGCCTCACCTACGTCAGGCCCGGCACCGCCGCCGGCTCTGCAGACGATACCGAATACGGCCGCCAGCCCCGCGCCGACGGCCGCCGACCACTGCCGTCGACGCCACCCCCGGCACCAGTGACGCCACAGGAGACCCTCTTGGACGACAACACTCCGCTGGACACACTGGAACCACGACGAGGTCTCTCCACCTGGCGCAGATGGAGGACACCTTACGCGACACTGCCCGAGTTGTGGAGGCTCAGCAACGAGACCCAACATTTCGACGCCTCCGAGCAGACTTGGAAGTGGGACAAGTAGAGGACGACGACTACGTCCTGGCCGACGACCACCGGCCGTGGCACGCTCCGCGTGGCCGCGCGTACACAGTCGAGGTCCCCAAAGAGTTGGTACTCGCCGTGTTGACGCTGGTCCATGATGCGTACGGCCACGCTGGAGCGGCATGCACCACCCTCCTCTTAATTGAGCAGCAATACCACTGGCCGACCCTCAACAAGGACGTCCGAGCCTATGTGCTGTCCCACAAGTGCCGGCGGCGAAAAAGCATGCCTGGAGTAAGCAACTACACATGATGCCGGCGAAGCTTCTTCGGCCGTGAGAGGTGCTCGAAATGGACATCCAGGACCTCAAGGTAGCTTCTGACAAGGGCACCCGTTGCCTACTAGTGGTGGTCGACCGCGCTTCCAAGTTTCTCACGGCCTTCCCGCTCCCGTCTAAGGAAGCCATTGGGGTGAGTCGCAAACTCTTGGAGCTCCTGCTCATCTTCGGCCTACCCCTCATCATCCTCTGCGACCCTGGTAGCGAGTTCACTGCGGAGGTGATGCAGCACCTCTGCCGCTCGCTGAAGGTGTCGCTGAACTACGGCCCTGCCAACCATCCCCGCGCCCAAGGGGCGGTTGAGAGGTTGGGGGGGTGGCTGCACGAGGCTCTGTCCCAGCTGTGCACCACGTGGCCCAAGGGGTGGCACGTTTTCGTGCCCGTGGCGACCTGGATCCACCGCGTTACGCCCGACGCTTCCCTGCCCGGCGGAGCGTCCCCCTTCCACGTCCTCTTCGGTCGGGAAACATGAAGCCACATTGACGTCGTCATCCAAGCCCCTGGACGACAACTCTTTTGGCCAGGGACTCGAACGGACTATCGCCGAATAACAACGCATGGTCTTACCTACCGGCACGAGGCTCAAAACCGCCATCGGGAACGTCACAACGCCCGATTCACATGTGAGTCACCTGAGACCAAAACCTCCGTTGGAAACTACGCTCTAGTCAAGGAACCGACCGCCAGGCTCCCTGGGACAATCATCACCCGAAGCTCACACACGACCTCTACACCGGCGCGTGGAAGGTCACCGAGGTCATCTACGACCGCCTGAGCTTCGCGGTTCAGCTCAAAGGCCGCCGGATCCGCCGACGCAAGGTTGAAGCGCCTGATCTCAAGCCCTACCATGCACAGCCGTAGGACCTTCGGCCGCCGTTCGAGGATGACTTTACCCACTTGGTGTGGTCGGCTGACCTCGGCATGGCCGACATCTCCGTTGTTGCCGTGCCGCTGTATGCGCGAGTAGACAGGCGGGTGGTACACGGTACAGGCATCACTCCGACGTGGACTTGGGAGTACCAAGGTCGCTACCAGGACAGTGCTCTCTCACCCTGGCTGACTGAGGACGAGGCCGGCGACAGCTTTTTGTCGCTCCAGCTGGACGTCTTCCACGCACTGTACGAGTCGTACCACGGCGAGGACGCCGTCCGACGACCCGCCGGACCGCCTACTCGGGGCGAGCGCGAAGTGGGGTCCAGGGAACAGGCGCTGTAGCTCTTCGTCATTGGTACCCCGGTCGGCCCAGCGACGGCCACCTCAAGGTGTTCAAGGCGACCGTCTTCGACCAGTGCGACCCTTACTGGCGCGTGCATTACCCGGATGGAGATTGGAAGGAGCATGCAAAGCAGGAAATGGATATGGGCATCGGCGTCGCTGCCCGATCGTCCCTCCCTACTTGACCCTGGACGACGGACTGCTACCGTTCACTGTCGTGAGCCCGCCTACTGTTGTCTGGCAGTCTGGGGGGGTGTGCCGGCAGTGGTAGAACGTGTAGGAGTGCTGCGTCGTCTTCTTTTCTCACCGGGGGAAACGATCCAGACTTTACCTGGCAGCTGGGCAGGGAAGTATGAATCGTGTGTGGGCAACGTGCGGCCGCCCTGTTAGCATAGCCGTGTACCACGGTCTATCTATCTATGCTGGGGGGGGTGTTCTGGACGGCCGTATTCACCGGTTATAAATAATATAGTGTGATGATGGGCACTTGTGACGCAACGAACAGGTGTGTGTCCGGAGAACACGTCCCTATGATGGGCACGGGGACATTATTACCCATAAGTGTCCGGAGGGGGGGTTCCGACAGATGTAAGTGTCTGTCGGGTAAATAATAGACCAACGAACCAACTGAATAGTTGCGATAAGTTCCATTCCCCGCGCGATGATGAAACGGTTCCTCCGACTGACGGCTTGCACCCAGCCGTCAGAACTGTGCGGAAGTGAACACGAAACCTTTGTGAACGAACTCGTCTGAGCACTACTGAACTGTCATCGTAACTACTGTGAGCGACAACCACGCCTGACCACGCATGCCTGACCGGATACTGGATTGTCGGAGGAGTTGCAACCGAATGCATTTCGAGTACCACTACTTGCTCGCTTGTTGTGTTGATCACGGAACGCTTGGCGTGTGCCTGCAATCGACTCACAGAGAAAAAGCTGATGATCTGCGCAGGTGAGAGTTAATAGCCTGGTGATGATAGCGTAGTTTAGCCCTTCTCTGGAACACTAACTAAAGTAAGGAAGAAGTACTTCAACTTTTGAATAATAATATTTCAGGAAAGGTATCAAGAACGATCCAATGATGGATACGGTTAAGTCCGTAGTAGTAACGATTCGTAGAATGTTTACTAGATCGGGCATACTTTCCTAGAACGGTTCTCAGGAACGGAAAAGTCCAGAATAAGATTCGAAAGGTTCCCGGAACGTGTCCGGAACAACAGTGCCTTTGGTCTTATAGAACGGTCTTTGGTTCCCCAGAACGGTTCCGGAACGGTTCCGTACTGGTACTAAGGTTCCTCGTAGTTTCGTCGGTAATCGACAAAAAGGCTGACCACAGGCAGACCTCACCCTCTAGGGTGGCGGGTACGCCCCTCAGACGGCCTACCTAGTGATCAGCTCACCAAATCAGCCCATGCTCAGTTTTACTAGTACTCCACATACCGGTAAATGTTGAACCCGTGCAGCGCGAAGTGGCTGTCGACGACGACAGGTGTTCAGGAGGACCCGATTCGCAGGGTATCCGTCGATTGACTTTTGAATTGGTACACCTTCGCACATGTCGTCAGCTGGATACTGGTTCGAATCTCTTTGGGTGCACACTTTTTCTCCTGGTTTGGACATTTTCCCATGGACACAATGTTTGGCAGTCCTGAGAACTCCTCTGGTCCAGGAGCCGATCGTAAAAAAGAACCTTGTGACACTTCCATCAAATTACCCATCCTGGCCACAAGAGGTTCCCAGTTGAGGGTGAATTCTGTGCGTGGGTGGAGAGTGTTAAGGAGGACCCGATTCGCAGGGTATCCGTCGATTGACTTTTACCTGAATCGGTACACCTTCGCACAGGCATGCTAACGCTTGCCGCCACAGCCGGCGACAAAGGTAGCCCTCGCAGTACATGCAAACCTCAAGAAGGGCGCTCGAGCATCCGAGCGGGCGCATTCTGCCAGATGGCACCACGGTTGGCTTGTTTTCATTTCTCACTTTACTTCCGCCGAATCTACAATAGCGCGATTACAGAAACAGACAAAATAAGGTAGTAGAATGCGCAAAGACCCTATGGTCATGCGCCAGGGAACACCCGAGCAGTGAACACACCATTACACGCCTTGCAATCGAAAACAATGTACATAAGCTGCCCGTACGCGTCATCAACAACCAAGACACAAGGGGGTGTTTGGAGGTGCCAAGAAAGTCCTACCAGCATGCGGCGGTACCCTACCCTATCCTTCCCCCCCCCCCCCCCCCCCCCCCCCCCCCCCCCCCCCCCCCCCCCCCCCCCCCCCCCCCCCCCCCCCCCCCCCCCCCCCCCCCCCCCCCCCCCCCCCCCCCCCCCCCCCCCCCCCCCCCCCCCCCCCCCCCCCCCCCCCCCCCCCCCCCCCCCCCCCCCCCCCCCCCCCCCCCCCCCCCCCCCCCCCCCCCCCCCCCCCCCCCCCCCCCCCCCCCCCCCCCCCCCCCCCCCCCCCCCCCCCCCCCCCCCCCCCCCCCCCCCCCCCCCCCCCCCCCCCCCCCCCCCCCCCCCCCCCCCCCCCCCCCCCCCCCCCCCCCCCCCCCCCCCCCCCCCCCCCCCCCTCGGAGAATGAAGCTTGTGACCAAGTGTTTAAGAAGGAGGTGGATGCATGGGCCCAAAACGAAGAAATGACATCGAAGGCAGACGTTGGGAACGTAAAACTAGAGAAGGAGTTCACTGAGGACGAGGTTGAGGCGTGTGTGAACAAGCTGAAGTGCCACAACAGCAGGAGCGAATGGGATAGTCAACGAGTTCATGAAGTTTGGGGGGGGCACAACGCTCTCCCGAATAAAAGGACACCACACTACGCCGCAATTTTGCAGCGTCTGTCTATTGCCGCGAGAGGCCCCAGACCTTACGAAGGGCCANAGCAGGAGCGAATGGGATAGTCAACGAGTTCATGAAGTTTGGGGGGGGCACAACGCTCTCCCGAATAAAAGGACACCACACTACGCCGCAATTTTGCAGCGTCTGTCTATTGCCGCGAGAGGCCCCAGACCTTACGAAGGGCCACCTCCGGACGAGGTAGTCAGAACACCGGTTTTGACGACGCATCTACATTATACATATATTTTGAGTCGAGCGGAAACATAACATGAGGTGGTCCAACCAACCATCCCGGTCCCGTACATCAACCCTCCCCGGAGTGTCCCGCTCTGGTCCGTAGAAAAGACACTTGACAAAATATCGCAGAAAGCGTCCTTTTGCGTGCATCGGCGGCACTGCAGCTACGCAGCTACCACCCAAACACCCTGCACTGGCGTACCTTTCTACGCCCCTGCCCCATGCGTGGCTCGCGCGTGCTCCTTCGACAACCCATGCGCATTGCCAGTAGGGACTCCCGAACAGCGGGATATCCATCACGATCCCCGATGTTCATGCAAATGAACGTTCACGCGGAACAACCTGCCCAGCTGCTGGCCCCTCCACCGCTACTGCCACAAACCCGCGGCCACAGCCGGCGGACGTAGCAACGCGACATCAAACTGTACACAAGATGCCAACTAGAAGTACTTGCCGACAGTACCTGACGTTCGCGGCTGTTCGTGATTGTAAGCCAGCTTGACCGCGCTGGGCGGGACCGTCACCGTCACGGGCCGGGCGGTTGAAGACGGTGCGAGCGAGCTCGTCTCCTCGTGTACCTTCGGCACCACACCGGAGGTTCCGGGCTGTACGTGCAACGACGTCCAAACGTCAGGACATTCCACGCAGCGCGGTCCCTGGATCCTCACGGTCAACACATGCCTAACCTGAATCGTCTCTGAGTTCAGGGTGATCGAGGTGTCGGCGGGGACCGTGAGCTCGTGGCGAGTGCCGGCCCCAGACGCGAGCTGTCTCTCGAGATCTGCCCGAGCCGTGTCCGCGATTGCAGCCGCGCTTTGTCCTCGCTGGCCTCCGAATTCAGCGGCCCCCAGTTCGGCTCCGGGCACGACAACAGATTTCACGACACGCGTGCTGACGTCACCGGCGCCGTTGGCGGTCCACGACGTCTCCTGTACGAGCTCGACGCGCAGATTTTTCACGGCGACCGAGCTGTCGTTCCGCGCCACTACTATGACACCCACCGATTCGTTCAGCCCCACCACCGATCGATCAGCCTGGAAGCCCAAGCTCATGCTGGCGAAGGTGCCGGAGGGATGGGGGCGGAGGAACGCAAGTACGAGGAGTGAGATCCTGAGACGCTGGCAGCAGCACTTCTGATTTACACCGGCATCTGCCCTGGCAGGAAAGTCAAGACCCACTCGCGGCTCGTGCGAGTTGGTTGACACGCCGCACTGCGATTGGGCGAGGCGGGGTCCCAGGTTCATCGTCGGCCGAGAGTCAACGACGCAACTGGTGTCGAACATACCACCAAATTGCAGGGGAGAGCACACCTCGGACAGCGCCTCCAACCGTCGCGGCTGCGCTGATTTTGAATTATTGCCTATTGCAGAGGCTTCAGAGTCATCCCGGCTAAAAAGCAAGACACGGAGACGACGATCTTGACAAGAAAACGACCACTGAGCGACTACTCACCTTCCGCTTTGCAAGCAGTAGCACTTCTTCACGGCCTTCACTGCTGGCCCCGCCACTACCGGCGAACTGGCACTGGTCTCCTCCGGCTTACCCAACACCTTCAGCTGCACCTTTCCCTTGGCATCGAAGTTGAGCAACCCTGGGCGGTGCAGCCGTGCTCTGAACCCGTAAGCGATTGCGCAGCTCCCATTCCCCCCTTGTTCCTGCAAAGGTGTGTAACCGACATGCCTCACACGTGATTGACTCAAGTAAATATCGCGGATCGAAGCACTACCAAGACCCGGTTTGCGAAGGACTCCTCGCGAAGCATGGGGCGGCGCTAGAGCCATCAGAGCAAAACGCACGAGACGGACCGAGGTGTTGTTGACGTTTTACTCGAGCTTCTGCGTCACACCTTCATAGACGCCGGCAAGCTCGGAGGGAGCGTCACGGAGAAGTCGTAGGTGTGTTCCCCCGAGGCCGCCTTTCCACCGAAATCTGCTAGCTGGACGTCGTACCCGAGGAACTCGACGTCCTCGCTCAGCATGTCGCGGTAGGTGTACGGAGCCGCGCCACTTGTGGTGGGGACTACTCCCGTCGCTATGAACATGGCGCGAGTCTTCGCCAGGCCGACTAACCGGATCACGAGCGAACCCGCTGGCGATCCGGCATCCTTCTGGGAGTTGCGCACGTGGGGGAAGATATAGAACAGGATGAGTATCCGAGCAGCACAGCAATAGCTAGAGCTTTGGCCTGCCCTCTTTCCGCATAAAACACTGACCGGTGGCCACCGTTAGGACAACAGAGACAACAGTTAAAGGCTTAATAGTCAAGGCAGATCCGATAAAGAGGTCTGTCTGAGCTCGTGTCACTGGTGAATGGTTGTTTATTAGGGTGTTACTACTCTCTAGGCTCACTCCATCGCCATCATCGATCAGAAAAAGCTCCATGGAGCCTTGCGCTACTGATATACGTCTCTACACGGCAAGGATGGGACCGCGCGGGTGTAAACCGAAAGAAACACATTATGAGTCGGTGCGAAATACTCCACGGTAATAGCCAGCCCACAAGCTGTAAACCAACCAAGCTGCTGAGAAGTGGAGCAAAAGCTCCCCTCTCATTCTCGCCGATAGTTCCGCTCCCACCCTACTAGCTCGGGGGTTGATTGCAAAAAAACGTGGCGTCCGGGGTAGATTATTGGAATCAAGCCGTTGGAGAAACCTCTCCCTTTCGTTAGGAACCCGAGCAGAGCAAACCGACCCCACGAGCTCTGTAAGGCATCCGAGCTGCGGAAAGGTGGTGAAAAAGTCGCCTTTCTTTGTGTTACTGCCGGGAAGGGTCACACTTTAAACGCAGCTACTGGAGTTTGGGGGGTTGCTTTGTTTAAACTTCGTTTCGTACAAAGATGGTGGAATCTACCTGCTGATAATTATTCCCTCATTTGGGGGAGATCATGACAAAGCATTTTACGATAGCGTACACTCCATGGGCTGTAAGTCATGCGAGCAACTGAGAGGTAGCACATAGGGATCCACACGATACTCCCATACTCTCATACTCTCTCGCTGGGTATCTCCACCGTGACATGCTGGTTGCGCCTTGAGCGGTGGCCTAAAACGTCGGGTAACGTGGAGGTGTGTTGCCATGATTTCCGAAACAAAATTACTGGTGTAGATAGAGCATTTCACCTGCGGCTTCTCGAAACTGCGAAGAATTGGAAGATTCCAATTTCGGATAAGAGATGTCATCTGAAACGACTGAATGGTACGCTGTCTTCTGGAAGAAATCGAATTCCGATTTACGCTTCACTTTGATAATTGAACAGTCGAATCTGTCGAAAACTGAATCCAAAGGACCCCATGTGTCCCAAGGACAGAGATGAAAAAATATACCAGTACAGACCGCGTTTCGCCAGACTTGGTTCCGATTCACCGAAACCCGGAAGGTGTATAATCGATCCTTTCTATCTCTTTTCGAATCCAAGCTTTCTGCACTCTATCGTGTGACCTATTTCACGCGTCGAACACACCAAGTACGTTGGTAACTGCATCCATCTCAACGACACACCTCGCAGTTACAACCCCCAACAAGGAGGGAAGATATGGTATCGAGGAAACAGAGAGGATCACTCACCGCGGTCACGTTCAGGCGCACGGTGCCTTGAATCACATCTCCAGGGAAACACGTGCTTTGCCGGGTGGAAATGTCAAGTTCGATGCCCATGATCACCTCGAACCGTCTTCCTTTGGTAGAAGGTGCTCCTAACGTGGCAAAAGGAAGGGACAAACGCTGCTTATCACGAATCCACATCCGACCAAGTCAAAAAACTCTCCTTGTATGCAAAGAAACATGACCCAGCTGGGCCGACTGCTGCTATGACTTGCTTTTTGAAGGAGAGGGACAGAGGAGAGGCACCCGGCTCTCTCTCTCTTTCTCTCTTTCTCTCTCTCTCTCCCTCTCTCTAACAACATACAACGTGCTTTTCCACTGAGGAGCAATTCTGAGACGTTTGGCGTTTGGCATCCAGGATCCAGGACTGGTCCCAGGAACGCTGCTTGCATTCTGAAGTCTGGGGTGACCATGAAATCTGTGCACAAGTCTGCTTGCAGTACATGCATCCTTGTACAGAGGTGCACCGGCCCATGCCATTGCCCCACACATACCTCTAAGATAAGGTACGCATGATACCTGTGTGCTCCATTCGAAAACTACACTATGATGTCGTTCCTACCACCGTCATCATACATGATAAACTTGCGAGTTGTCTAGACTTCAAATGGTACTTGTACTCAATTCCGTGCCAGGATGCAAGGGTCTCACCGACCAGGCTCTCGCACCCGCTAACGCCAACCCACGGCAAGGCAACCGACCGCGTGTCGAATAAACGAGGCACACTTCGGCGCACCAGAACATGAATAAGCGAAATAAATATAGCTTTCTTGAAGCAGTAAGCGAGGTGGGAGTTGTACCTGATACAGCAGCAGTATCCAAGATACGCGCCAGCGCACTACGAAGGCTACACCAGTGTACAATAAAACGCTATTCAGCGGGGTGATGCTGAAACGGTTGGCGACGTTTTGCGAACGACGTTTTGCGAACGGTCTAACACAACAGCAATACCTTGGATGTGGCTAGAAGACGAAGGGTAGTGCAATGTCCTCCGCGCTCCCTCTTTCTGCTGTCGCTTGTGTGCGCGCCCTCTCCATCCTTCTTCTCTTCATCAACCAACTTCACTTCGATCAGATGACGTCACGTGGCGATCAGCCCGACAGACCCGAGGACAAAAGGTGCGCCAATCAGACGCACGAGCGGGGTGAGTTGCACATGATGGCGGCGAAATCGTCCGTCGTCCGTAGCATTTCGTGACTGCATATGTATTACATAGTTCTTCGTCATCATGCCAATCGACAAAGGTGTGGTCGGGGGGTTGGGGAAAAAAGGCATAGACTGGTTTGGTGTGTTGTTCCCTGGTGGGGACAAAGCACTGCTGCCACTGGTGTGGTGTGGTCCGGCAGACGGTTCCCCCTCCCCCTATGAAGAATATGTTGTTGTTGTTGTTGTTGTTGTTGTTGTTGTTGTTGTTGTTGTTGTTGTTGT